CTGTTGCTGCTGATGCTGCTGCTGCTGTTGCTGCTGATGTTGTTGCATGTTGCCACGGACAAAACCCAAACAACGACGCCCACATCGATGTTCCAACACCTCTTTCGGAAACCCAACCTCTGCGCATCATTAAATTAAACTTGTATGAGAACTGTTGTTTGCGTAGCCGTTGCTCTTTCGGCCTTTTCACATTTTCGCATTTTCACATTTCATTGCCATCGCTGGCATTTGACTCTTGCCAATCAGTGATTCCACATATGCTTGTTTCAGCAGCTCCTTTTGTACTCGGATTTGAGCTATTTCCGCTGCTGACAGTAGCAGGAATCTACATCTACTTCCCCCATTTGATATCTTAAATGACACTCGCCGCCAAATAAAGATTGACGTCAAATTCATTATCGCCCGCAACAACGCAACAAGGGAATTTTTTGGAATGGGGGGTTGTGGGTTGGGTTATTGTACAGATGTGTCAAGTGCAGGCACACACACAGAACCAGATAGCCATAAAATTTCCTATCCTCTATGTGTATAAACATTTGAAAGCAAACATTTTGTACACACACAATAATTGTTATCGATTTTTAATTGAAGTCACCCAGAGAGTTGGTAAATGTGCAATTAAAAAAGCAAATAATAATATTTGAATATTCATGTCGAGTCTTGAATAGTTTATGACAAGATGTTTTGTTATTTAAATTGGTTTCGGCAGTTGTACCTTTGTTAAGATATGCATAGGTTTAATAAGATTTAAGGTTTATTTTAGAAGGCCTGCCATTAAATTGCTCAATTTGCTGCATTCCAATGTGCTGTTAGTGAAAAAGTGTCTGCCCAAAATGGGCATACCTCCTCCCCCCCAATTTTGCACCTCACATGGCAACACGAACAATCGCTCCATATATGACTATGGGGACTTGGCTCTGTCGCTATTTTTAATTCAATTAAATGTCATTTGCGCCACTCAACTTTAAATTTTAACTGCAGCATAATTTGGCCTGGGCAAAACCTGGCAACAAAAGGGAAGCTTCCATGCCATGCGATGCGATGCGATGCGATGCGATGCGTTTCGTTTCGTTGCAAATTCTGCCATGTTGCATGTGCGGCACGCGTGGGCAGGATGTGCAGGATGCGGCAGAGACAATGTTGCACGACGCCAACGCCAAAAGTGCCAAAAGGACAGGACAGGGCAAGAGTGGAATGGAGGCTACAGGGAATGGGAACTGGTAACTGGAAACTGGGAACTGGGAACAGGGCACCTCGGAATCAGGCAACGGCAACGACAACCGGGCTGAAAATGCGACACAGACAAGCCAGCGAAGAGGCAGTTAATCTGGCGATAATGACGGCACATAAACATCAACGATGATGATGATGAGGAACAGGAGACTTACAAAATGAAACATTATAACTGGGTTGGCTGAGTGGGAAGTACACCTTCGAAATTGCACATAATGTGCGACACTTTTTGGGCGACAACCGAAGCATGCACTTTTCGTCTAATTTCCCAGCCGCTTTCACTTCAGCACAAATTAAAATGTAATCAATTTGGCCTGAGAGAGCAAGTGGCAATGCCGTCTCGTCAAGTGACATAATTCCAGCAGATATTAAACACTTTGTCATTTATGTGTCAAAATCATGTCAGCGTGAAAAGGCGACACAAGAAGCACCGTGGAAGAGCCAACGAAACGAAATTGTCAAGTGTAATAGAAATCAAGTGAGTGAACAGACCGAGCAACTGACAAACTGACACGCATCGGGGGAAAAGTTGAAAGGAGAAGAAGCGGGAAAAGTGGGAGAAGCGGGAAAAGCTTTGGGAAGATGCAAAGAAATGCAGGAGAACAGCGAGTCCGTTTAAGTGGCGTACTCGCGGCCTAATGCTCTCCGACATATTTGGGGCGTGGCTTATAGAACACTGCACTGCACAGCACTATAGTACACTAGACTACACAACACAACACCACACCACACACAGTTCAACAGCATGGCACCTGTCACGATGCTGGCGCAGTGGCAACTTGACGTCGCTGACAACAAAGCGGCGCTATACCGCCTGCCACCCACTAAATCCCCTGCAAGTGGAAAGTAACGCCAACTGAGTTCGCTCCATTTTCCATGTGGCACAGTTTCCACGCCACAAGCTTCTCTGTCCCCCCCCCACTTCTCCTCCAGCCAAGACATTGACCAACTTACCTTAATTGAATCCAAGTTCTTATCGCTAGCCAAAGTTTCTAAACAATATCTTATCATGCGAGCCAGTGCAAACTTTGGCTCACTATCGCCCGGTTTGTAGGTAAACACAGTCAGCTGGCTTAATATCAATTAATTAAAAGCGAAAGTGCCTGACAACGACAAAAATAAGCTTGTTATTTTGTATTTAATAAAGGTCTACAAGTCTATGAACTAATTTCTAACTTTAACTTTAACTTCGAGGATAACAATTGAGTGGTTAGCAGCTTTGCAAGGTTCCTAAACAAAAGCGAAAGTGCTTGGCAGCAACAGAAACAAGCTTGTAATATTATTTTTAATAAAAGCATAGAAGTCTATGAATCAATTTCTTAAATTAACTTTAACTTTGGCTTAACAATTGTGTTGGTAATACAATACACACACAATATCAACCAAGTGTTTAAGCTGGCATTTTAAAAAGGATTTACAAATTTAATGGTTAATTTCTAACTTTTAAACAGGAGCACCCAGTTGGCACTCTGCAAATATTGAATCTGAATATAGAGACCCTATTTTTAGGTGAGCCTGTCGGGCTAACTTCAATTAATTAAGAGCGAAAGTGCTCGACAGAAATGGCCAAAAGAAATGCATATTTTCGTCCCTGGGCATCAATAATTGAAGGGCCTGGGCTCTCTCAAACATTCATGGGAATTTCTTATTTTCCCGACCCCCGGGCTGAGCTTAGCTCATTTGAAATGCAACCAAAAATTGACGCAGCCCAGCCGCATTAAGTAATGGGTGGCACTCGGTGCCCAGAGGAAGTCACGCAGATATAGCAGCAGGAATATTCATTTAATCAAGTGGCCTAAGCCTCTCTCTCTCGGTTTTCCCTTCCGGCTTCTCCCTTTCAGCTTTTCCCGGTCACGTCAAATGGGGATTTTTATGAAGCACCAGAGCAGGCCTGATCATCTTGTGTGTGTGTGACATTGAGGGTGTTGTGTGTTGGATGCTCGTAAAAACGGGCTGAACGCGCCTTTTAATCGCCAGTGTGTTAACGTGCAACGTTGCGTATGCGCAATTTTCTGTCATTTTTATTACTGATGAACATCGCAAAATTACAGCAACACTCTGCCGCCACATACACGTATTCAATGTCAATCATCATTTGCAGCAATTTATTATTATAATAATAAATGTTTTTGGGGGCTCTTCCCTTGGGTAAGGAACCGCAGCCCCATGTTCGTCTTCTTTTCTTGTCGTCGACGAAAATTGTGTTTTCTCTCAAGTAGTTAACATGGAAAACGTTGAACAAATCGCATTAATTGCTGTTGTTGCAGTGGAGGGGGGGAGGAGGGTTGGTAAGCTTAATGCGGGACAACTTTTTGTTGGGAAGGCCCGCATGTGAGCATGTGTGTGCCAAAGTGTGCTTTTTAAGTACCGCTATGACAGGCAGTAAAAACAACTTAACTTGGCTTGCCAAGCCAAGCCAAAGCATACCGAAAGCTGAAAACTGAAAGCTGAGAGCTGAAAACCCAAGGCATTGTTGAGCTGTTAATGAAAAGTCAACTTGATTTCATGCCAGACCAGACCTGCTCCTTTGGTCCTTCGCCAGTGTCGCATGCAAAGCCAATGTGCTACAAGATGGCAAGAAAAGCACGGAGCCTCAGAGCCCCGGCAACTGAAAAAACTTTCACTTTATCATTAAGCCTGACGGGTGAACTTTTTTGAGTGGCTGCCGCTTCGTCGTGTGTGGCCAGCTCTGCTAGAAGGACTTCCCATATATTGAAACATAAATAGAATTATAAATACTCTACAGGCAAGTGTGTGTGTGTGAAAAATCAGTTAAAGTTATTGCATGTCGTCGCAGCTCGACATAGACAAATGTTGCTCTTGTCACAAGTGGAGGAGGCAGCAGCAACAGCAGCAACAACACGGCAGCAACTCCTGGCCCACCCACATCAACTGGCTGTCTTCATGTGCCTGTTGCCAACTTGACGAAAATTGAATTTCGAAACATGCTGGCTAAAAGAAAATGTACAAAAAAGGACCAAAAAAAAAAAAAAAAAAAACAGAGGCACCCAAAAGTGAAACAAAACAAAAAGAAAACTCTCGGGCAAATAGAGAAACATTTCAGCGGCAAAAACGGTAACAACAACCATGAAAATGACAGCGTAAAGCCGGCAAATGCAACAACAGTGAGCGGGGTAAAACAAATGCCAACAAAATGGCGGCTGTTAAAATGCGAAAAACGCGTTGGAAAACTGTTTGAACAGCGAGGAGCTATGGAATCGAGCGAACGCACAGCAGCAACATGACGACACCAGCAGCAACATCATCGGGACAACAGCAACAGCAACAGCAACTGTATTTAGTGCCGCCATCATCACTAGACGTGTGTGTGTGTGTGCTGCGCTAAGTGCCTTTGCGCTTCGTCCTTCGACTTGCAAAACCCCTCCCCCCATTACTTATTCACCCCCTGCCATCACCCTTTATTGTCCTTGTTTGGCTGTTATGTTTTTTAGCTTTACGTAAATTGCGTAAATTGTGTGCATTTTATTACGCTACACTTCATGCTGTCACGCCCCCATTTTCCCCACCCGCCCATCTTCATACATCACATCTTTCCTCTTTTTTGTTTTTTTTTTTTTTTGGCAAACATTTTGGCAACTTTTTTTTTGCTTGCTATGCTGTCAACATGAAGAAAATGTCTTCGTCAGTTTTATTAGGTGAGAACTGTGCGTTGCGCAAAAGTGTAAATGTAAGGCCAAAGTTTATGTATCACGTTGTGGAATTTTGATTGCCTCGAAAATAACACACCCCCCCCCCCCACAACCAACTTTTTTGACCCATTTCAAAGGTAACGAATGTAAATTTATTGTCCGTCTATCAGTTAGGGAAACAACAACCAATTTCAGCCCTTCCCTGTCACTCACTCTTACCTTTAATAACACAATTTTTCGGGGCTAATTGATACGCCTGACGGCATCGCGTGACCAAAACTGAACGCTAAACGACAAAGATAAACACAAGGAGAAATAAAAGCGGCAGAAAAAGAAAACAACGGACAACGAACAACGAACAACCGACAACCAAAAGCCGGCACGAAAACGAAAACCAAAAATCAAATCGCAGGGCGCCAACAGAAACTTCCACGCGACGGCGTTCAAGTTCATTGCCATTTAGGCCAAAATTGGCGCACGCGGAACTTGTCTTTAGCCCCCCGCTCCCCAAAAAAAAACAAGTACAAAAAGCACGAAGGAAACCAAAATACAAAAATACGGGCCACAGAAAACGAAAAGCAAAACAATTCGACTACAAAGTTAAAGAAAATACACACGGCTATTTTTGGGAACGCACGTAGCATTTGGCAGCCGCAGAAATTGTTGGTGAAAACTGAGGCATTAAATTGCACTCGATCGATGGACGGATTGTGCACACGGATCGAGCAGGGCACTTCCCGGCACGTTTCCCCTTTTTTTCTGCACTTGATAAATGCCAAAGGCATTTAACGCATTTGGTTGCAATTAATTTTTGCTTTGGGGAGTGTGAAAAATTTTGGTTGCTTGCCAACCGCAACATTTTGATCGCCTTCGGAAAATGAGAATCTTTCAAAATCAGCTAAAATCATCAACAATCTTGCATTCCATTATCAAGTGGTTGCAAATGAGATTTCGCGCCGACAGCATGGCGAACTCATTGCACTCGTAAAACGCAAAACAAGGAAAATGCACTCAAAATGCAGTTGAAATTGCATTTAACACATTTTCCCGAACCCATTTGCTCGGGGCAGCGGGTGTGAGGGATGTAACTTTTGATTTATTTGCATGACAAACGGGTTAATTACAGCATGTTGCGGTAGCAACACCAACTGCACGGCAGCAGCACTGCAACACAGCAACACAGCAGGCTAACAAAAACAGGATTTTTTCTTGGCTTACAGGCACAATTGTTGCATGCCCGATGATGCAACAACGAGCTGGAATATTGTGGGCGTTTGGAAATGGCGCCAATGCTCCCTCCGAAATATATATATTTATGTGCTAAAAAGTTTGGGCAATTGACAAGCTTGTCCCTGGCTGGTAAACGAAGTTTTTTGGAGCCCGAGCCCCAATACCCACTTGGCACCAGGAGGTGCAACGTCATTTATTACACTCACACTACTCACAGACGGCCAGAGTTTCTTTGTTATTTGATTGAGCTTGAGGCTGGCATTGAGGGTCCATAATGGAATTTTTATTTATTAAATGCGAGTCTCTGTCCATCGCCTGTGCGCCGTTGTGTAATTTATCACAGCCTGGCCAGCCAGAAAGGAATTTTCTGCGGGATTTAATGCCATGACAATGGGTGAGAAGCGGTGGAAAAAGCAGTGACGGCGGCCGCGGGGGTTTTTGTGTGGAGTGTGGCAATGCATAACGCATTAACAAACGGCTTTCAGCTGCATATTGGCTTTTGTGATTAACGCTCGCACATGCAGAGCGGCGAGCGCATAAAACACTGATACCCTTGTTGCTGAAACGGGCTATCGATGGCTGTGATTTAACCCATGTTTTTTACCTAAAAATAATAATACAAATTAAAAAAAACTATGTATGTATATCTTGTTAAATATTGTTAAACCAATCCTAAAATTATTTTAAAAATAATATAGATATTTTTTTTGCAATCCATAAATGGTCGGGCGCCATAGTAATGTTGCTGCTGATTAAAAAACTCGTTTGTTATTGGGTTAACTGTGAGCCCTTTTTTCAATATTATAACGACTGTTAAATGCCACAAATTGTTTAATGCGTCGGCTTGCACTACCTCTCCTCCCATCCAAGCTCACGATGGTTCTGCAGCGTGCAACCACCGAGCGATTTATGCAAATGCAACCAATGCACTTAGCGCCGTTAAATAAACAAAAGCATTATCAGCACCAGCACCAGCACCAGCTTCAGCAGCAGCAGCAGGCAGACACAGAATGCAGAATGCAGAAATGCAAGACAATGCATTAAATTCCCTTTGCTGTGATGTGCGGGGAGTGAAGCCGCAGCACAGCAGCAACAGCAACAGCAACAGCAACAGCAGCAACACACATCAAAAATTCACTATGGAACTTATCTAAATGCACTAAATTACACATTAAGCGAGTATGCGAGTAACTTAAATCAAGACCTGCACACACAGTCGCAATCTAAGCGCATAAACAACAAGAACAAGCCCCGCAAAATGCAAATTTGCATTCAAGAGGGCAAGGAGGGTGAGCAAATTGAGTTGGCATGGTCAGGGACTAGAGATTGCGGACTCATATAGACTTACTTGCCCTAGCTGCTTAATTTGCGTGCGAGCTTATAGTGTTTTTTTTTTTGTTTTTCATCCCACTATGGCTGCTGTGTCTGTGCCTGTGCCTGCCCTCCATCGATTATGTAAATGCGAAAATTTCCATTAAATGCATTGAATTCCATTACGAACGCATCATGATCATCATCATCGTAGTCTTCATTGTCGAAGTAGTGAATGAGCGAACGCTGTAAGGCAGAAACACAGAGATCTCAGCTCTGGGCGCCCATTGTCTTGCGGTCTGGCGAATTTATAGCTCTACAACTGCGAGTCCGGCACAATGAAGTCATTTGCTGTGGAATGTTCGGCGGTCGTCGAGGCAAGTGAAAATGCCTGGCCCGAATATCGTAAATCGTTTACTGGTGGCCGCTTGTCTGTTGTCCGTTGTCCGTTGTCTGTTTCTCTCGGAGGTATTTTTATTAGCCAAACACAAATTGAGGCAACACGACACGACACACAAAACCGAAAGAAAAACACTTAACATCAACACGAAAAGACTAAGCAAGCGCAACAAGGCTAAAAAACATGGCTCAGATCAGCTCAGGTTGGCCCAAGCGGACTCAGAGCGAGAAAAACCAACAGAAACTACTGTTTAAACATCTCTGCAGTCGCGTTTGCCATGGATTTTTTTACCTGGTTCACCCTTTTCCAATCTACCATGTTGGCCAATGACCAAACAGAAGCTTACGGCTATTTGTTCCACCAGCTGGAGGTTTATAATTTGCGTACTGCAGTTTGGGGCCATCATAATTTCGTTGCCAGTTGGCAGGAGGATGTGTGAAAATGTCTGTGTGCCGGCCTGCGGCATTTGAAACTCAGTGCAGCAAATGTGCAACCAAATGGATCTATTGTTTGCCGGCTTTCACCACAAACGCCGCTTCACTTTTGTATTTGGCAACGCATTTCACACTTTGAGTGGTGAAAATCTCTCTGACTCACAACTCAAAACTCACTGGCAACTGTAAGCGAAACGAAAATCATTGGAAAAGCCTGGAAAATGCCGGAGGATAAAGGAGAATGTGTTGCTGACGATTTCGACCGGCCCAGCAAGACCTTGGTTCTGTTGATCTTCACCTTGGCCGTTTTCATGAAGTTGGGCATCATTCTGGTGGAGATTATGGTGTGAGATGGGAATTACCTGAAATGAGACAAGAATGGAAAAAGGTCGTAATTAGTTGCTGTTTTCTTGCGTTTTCCTTTTATGTAAAGATAAGTGTAAACAAAGAACTGAGAAAACCCGATTGATTGGGATCAAATGGTAGAGTCACTGCATTTTTAGTTCGGAGTCGCATTTCATCGAGGGTGAGTTGTATTTCTGCTCTCTGCGCTCTGTCGCTCCATCTGTCTTTTTTTAAGGGTATTCGATTACGAAAAAGGTATTCGTTATTGGCCTTAGTCCTCCCTCATCAGCCAAATGACTTTTCCCATTTCCCGCGCAAACAGCACAGCAAGGAATGCGGATTAAACCGCAAGAGGGTATAAAAACATAATTTCATTTGGCCTGCTGTGCAGAACAGTGAAAATAATTTGACAACTTACTTAAAAATGTGTCACATGAAGAAGGTCAAAAAAAAGGGTTGCGCCCCAGGAGAAGAAAAAACCACAAGTAGCGACATCTCTTGTCTGGAAAATCAAAATGAAAATCCAAAAGGGAGCAACTTTTATTAAAAGCTGTCAGCGCGACAAAACCCCAAACATATTGGGTTCTGCTTTTTCCACCCCCAGTCAGCCAAAGTTAAAACGTCATCGTGGCTTCATTACTGATTCCTGAAATGCTTCTCACCTTTTGGGCCAAAAAAAACCGAAAGCCGAAAAAGTTTGTTGCCTCCATGTCCTTTGATCAAGTCGCAGGACATTTTCACCTGTCTGTCTGGCCAGCTCCAGCTGCTCTTTGATGTTGCCAGTGAAAAAAGACGCAATAAACCGAAAAGTGGGTGCTAAGGATAAGCCACGAAACAGCGCATCAGGCATGCATAAAGCGAGGGCCCAAATTAACTCAATTGACAAACTTGGCTGCCATACTCGCAAGTAAAGGGTTTTTGACTAACTCATTTAGGGCCAAGAAAATGGAGGCACAAGTCAGGCTATCCCTGGATATGGATATTGCCACACACAATCCCTAATTAGAATCGATTTGGCTCAAGGGATATCCATTTTTTCTCTTTGCCTTTTACCCCCCTCCAGCCCATCAAAAAACAATTAACAATTTGAGGCACTCAATAAAATATTTAAATGCCAAAGTAAAGTGAATCAGACGGGGTGAACCCTTTTTTTTTTTGTGTCTTCGAGAAAAGGAACCCAAAGCGAGGGCAAACAATGATAAATTACAAATGAAATTGTAAAAAAGGCGCAACAGCCAAGGAATAAAAATAAATGAGGAGCGAAAAGAAGCAAGGATAGCAGAAAGTGGTAGAAAAGAAGAACATGGGGAGCAATTAACGTGGACAGAATGTGCCACGCCCCCATTCGGTTCAACTGACATTCCATTTGGCCATGTCGACTCCAATGATTACTTTCGCCTTTGATTAATTTGAGCTCATCGATATTGCCGACGTGCAACCCTTTTTCGGCCATTGCCCGTCGGCCTAATTGCTTGCCTAATTTAATTGCCGCGAGTGTAATTTGTGACAACTGTGACAATCGGACGACAGCACTTTTGCCCGTGGCCCTTCGACTTTTTCGGACTGCAACGCTCTAATCAGTGCATTTGATTAATGGAAACTTAACTCTACTTGGTTTTACCTTTTTTCTGGGGGGCAGGACTAGGGGTGTCCAAACACCTCGAAGCAAACCACAAAGTCATTTCCGCACTTTTCGCCCAGCATCATTAATTACAAAAACCAATAAAAGTGTTGGCCAGGCATTTAGGCCAAAATAAGTTGTCATCATTAGTAACAGTTACAAGTTGGTCAGACAAACGGCAAGAATATAAAAAAGGCAAGGGCAAAAAATACTACACTTAAAAGAAAAACTCTTGAAAAAGAAACATTAAACTTAAGAAAAAACTAAACCTTTATCATCAATTTTGTATTTAGTAAAATGATTTTTAAATTCCTTTAGTTTAGTTTAGTTTTAGTTTAGTTTAGACCAGCATTTTATTTACTATTTATTTTATTCCCCAGCGCTATTCAACTTGTTTTCCATTTAAGACAAATACCCAAGGATAACCCAGATGAATAACAGGAAACTCACGAAGACAAGGAGCCTTCTTGGCAACAACATTTTTCTCCGGTTACTTGCAAACAAATTGCCAACAATTGATGAATGTCTGGTAATGAGACGCGCTTCTCAACATGGACCAAATAAAACGGGGCAAAAAAAACTTAAGCTAAACGCAACTAAAAGTCTGTCAAAAGCGGAGAGTTGCGGAGAAACTGAAAGGGGGGAGTACTATAGCAGATATAGGCGCCAGTCGAAGGAAAATGGCCTTTTGTATTGGGCCTATAAATAAATAGGCTTTTCAATATACACATACAGACACACACACATACAACTGAAGCCATTCGGAAAAGCAATCTGTGTAAAAGTAACGTAGTCATTAATCATTATCATATAAACATCAATTGGTGTTTAGAGTGTTCGATGGTGGGGGGAGTAAGGAGAGACGTTTTTTTCGGGGGCTGCATGTCTTGGCCAATGTTATTGATTGGCCATTCAGTTGGTATCGAAGTCGTTGGCCGCCTCAAGGAGTGCAGACAGCCGATTCGGTAAGAAATCGGAAAAGAAATCGAAATGAAATTTACCGTAAATAAAAACATACCAAAATGGAAGGGAGTTCGATGTAAGTAGAATGAAAAATTTAATTTATAACAGTATATATATTGGCAACTTCCACTTCCCTCAATTGGCCCCAAAATAAGAGAGGGAAAACGAGAAGAAAAAAAATGTTTGGGAAGCTGCTTCAAAGGTTTCCTGTTTGGTCCGATTCAATGCATTAAGGCGAAATCATCTTAGCTGAAATCAAATAAAAGCGACAGACACACACAGAAAAAAAAGGAAGGAAGCAAGTCGTGGTGGGGACACAAACTATGCTGGCCAAGATATAAATCAGCAGAAATAAGACAAATTTTGGGCAGCCAGCTGCGGAGTCTCTTCAGCTGGCACCTAATCAAAGGGACCGACAGAGAGACACAAAATTACATGTAATCAATTTGTCATAATAACCATCAGGACTTATATACAAGTATGTGTGTGCGCTGGGAAGTGTCTTTTACCGAGTCATTTAGTGACAGTTAACCTTGAACCTTGTGAAACGAAAACGAAACCCCTCAAATGAGGCGCAAATCTTTAAGTCTCCTCCTTAAAAGATTGCCATATTTATCATCTGCCACACACTCATTAATATTTCATATTTATTTCAAGTTTATGCTTTTTCCTTACACAGAGCTCGATAAAGACCGACTTATCGGGGTTGGCAAAAAATTGCCATTTCTGCTTTCATCTCTTTTGAAATGTGGATATAAATATAAAAAGTCAAGCGAGTGTTTTGTAGCCTCTTTTTTATCAGCCTACAGGGCAGCACAACAAAATTCCTTTCGCCTGCAGAGCCATCAATCATTATCATTGGAGGCCTCTACTACCAGCCTCCTCGACTTCCGAGTTCCATCCTGTTTGGGCTCTCTATCTTGTTTTCTGACTCAGACCTCAGACCCCCCATATAATTTGTATACACTTACATATATTTAATTTCTTTTCAATTCCGGGTGCACCCCCCAGTTGATAAATTGCCTCTGGCTGGGATCAATCCATCGACTAGTCGATATTTTATTTGGCTTATTAATTTTTCTATATTTATATATACTTTTGGGTCTGGTGACCGCAGATTTCAATTACAAAGTGTCACGGGCAACGAGGGAAAAGTGGAAGGGATTTTAATAGAATTTCTACTGGGGAAGTGCTTTCTCTCGCCTCTTCAATTTGCCTAATGCAATTGGGGGAACTTTCCATTTGAAAAGCGCGTCAATTGATGCACTTAGGCGCTAAGATCTCTTTACACAAAAGGCGGATGGACTGATGGACGAATGGACGGACTCAGACTCGCCTCAGTGGGGTGTGTAAATTGATTTCGTTTTTGGGCTTGCCAGCAGCAGACAGTGTGAAATATAGTATAGCTCAGATGGCGACATGCTGTGGGGGATGGGAAAGACCCCAGTTTGGATCAAGGGGTGCCACTGTTTCCAAAGTGCATTCGATTCCCAGGCCCACAAAATATCCATACACAACATATATAACCCACTCCCTGAGAACGCATTCTTTCGTGATGTTATATGAGCTGAAAACTGTTTGAATGGATGATTAACATGTATGGATGGGCCTGGGGTTTTTTCATTTTTTCATGTTTCCAAGGCGAAACGGAGCGAAAAAAAACAAATTCGTTGTTATTGCCGCTTGTTTGTTTCTGTTTCTGTTTCAGTTTCTGTCGCTGGCAAAAGGCCTTCGAATTGATACGGAGCATATGACAAACACAAAGGGTTCGACTCTGATTCACGCCTTATCAGCCCCGCAGAAAGCACTGGCACTAGTCAACACAGTCCTCCAAAAGGCGAATCAACACCCAAACCTTAACCTTAACCCATGGCCGCCGGCCAGCATCGAATTTTAGCACCCAATGCCTCGACACGCCCCTATCATCGCACGAACATCAACACCGAATTCGAACCATAACAAAAGGCGTTTGGCCCTGCAATTGTGGACATACATATAAAGGAGGAAAACTCTTGGAAAATATTGAGAAATAAGGGAAAACAATTTACCGCCATATGCGAGCAGGCGGGTCGGTCGCCCAAGTCCTGATCCCTTTTATGGCCAATGTGTCAGCCACCGAAAATTGCTTTTGTATACACAACACAGCCTAGCACATACAGTATACTGTGTTCACACAAATTGTTCTTATCATTGTCGCCTTTGGCCCGGGAATTAGGAAATATTCGGCGGGCGGAAGACATTGGCGCCAGTTGGTCTTATCACTTATCACACGAAATGGGCAGACGACAACAGCCAAAAGCCTGTGGGCTCGCAGTTTTCCAAGGTCGGATTTTAGCTTTGGCAATTGTAATTTATGTGCGCTAGCCTCCCTTTAATTAGCCCGTTTCGAGGCAGCTGACAACTTTTTGGTACGACTGTCAACTGCTTTCG